ACTTAGGATGTTACTATAAACCCAAAACCTGTAATAGATACACAAAAAATAAAGGGAAAGAAAGCTAAGCATAATACTATAGAAAGTCTTCAATCACAAGTAATGAGAGAAAGGAAAGAAGAACATAAAACCAATTAACAAAATGGCAAAATGCACATACCTATCAATAATTAAAGTAAATGATCTAAATACTCCAATCAAAAGAAATGGGACATCTAAATGGATAAAAAACAAGACTTATCTATATGGTAACTACATGAGATCTGCTTCAGATCTAAAGACACATATGGCCCGAAAGTGAAAGGATGGGAAAAAATATTCCATAAGAATGGAGATTAAAAAAAAAAAAAAAAAAGCTAGGGTAGTAACTTACCAGACAAAATAGACTTTAAAACAATGACTGTAACGTAAGATAAAGAAGGGCACTACATAATGATAAAGGGGTCAGTCCAATAGGAGGATTTAATGGTTTTAAGTATCTATACCAGCAACACTGAAACACCTAAGTACATATGACAAAGAGAGACAGACATGAAGGGAGTACGACTGATGGTGCTACAGTAATAGTAGGAGACACTGACACTCCATTTACATCAATGAATAGATTAACCAAGCAGAAAATTAGTAAGGAAATAATGTCTTTGAACAACACCTCAAACCGGATGGACTTCAGATATATACAGAACATTCCATGCAAAAACAATAAGACATATTCATTTTAAGTGCAAATGGAACATTCTCTAGAACAGATCACATGTTTGGCCACGAAACAAATCTCAGATTTAATAAGAATGAAATCATATCCTACATCTTTTTAAACCACATGCTATGAAACTAGAAATCAATCATAAGAAGAGAAAAACTGGAAAATGTACAAACACATGGAGGCTAAACAACATGCTATCAAACAACCAATGGGTCAACAAGTCAATGGTGAAATAAAATAATACATGGAAACATGAAAATGAAAACATAACATTCTAACATCTTTGGGATATAGAGAAGCAGTTCTAAAGTGAAATTTATGGTGATACGGACCTATCTCAAGAAACAACAGAAATCTCAATAAACAACCTAAACTTGAACGTAAAATTTTTGGAAAAAGAAGAGAAACAGAAACCAAGTTAGTACAAGTAGGAGACAAAAACAACCAGAGCAGAAATAAATGAATTAGAGACTAAAAAAAACACTGTAAAAGATTAATGAAACCAAGAGCTGGTTCTTTGAAAAAAAAAAAACAGACAAAATTGATAAACCTTTAGCTGGATCATCAAGAAATAAAAACACAATAAAATCAGAAACAAAACAAAAGTAACAATTGAAGTCACAGAGTACAAAGTATGAGTATAAGAAACTATTACAAAAAAATTATGTGCCAAAAATTACATGCCAAAAATTTATATCGTCACACAGTGGACAAACTAGAAGAAATGGATAAATTTCTAGAAACACCAGATCTTCTGAAACTAAATTAGAATGAAATAGAAAATCTGAATAGATCAATTACTAGTAATGAAATTGAACTGATAATCAAAAACCTGCCAACAAAAATCCAGGAACAGATGGATTCACAGGAGTTCTACCAAATATTTAAAGAAGAGTTAATACCTGTTCTCCTCAAACTATTAAAAAAAAAAAAAATTGAAGCTTCCAAATACATTCTGCAAGACCATCATTACCCTGATTGCAAAACCACCAAGACAAAGACACCATAAGAAAAGAAAATTACAGGTCATTATCCTTGATAAACATAGATGCCAGAGTCTTCAAAATATTAGTAAACTACATTCAAAAATACATTAAAAGGATAACTCACCATGATCAAATGGAATTTATCCTAGAGATGCAGGGATGCTTCCATATTTACAAATCAATCAGCATGATATACCACAACAGAACAGGATAAAAATCTTAATAGATATAGAAAAAAGCCTTGTACAAGATTCAGCATCTGCTCAGGATAAAAACTCCCAACAAAATGGGGTTAAAGGGAACATATCTCAACATAATAAAGGCCATATGTGAAGAATACACAGCTAACATCATACACAACAGTGAAAAACTGAGCTTTTCCCCTAATACCAAGAGGAACACAAGGATGTCCACTCTTGCCACTTTTATTCAACATAGTCTTAGCCACAGCAATCAGAGAAAAACTGTCACTATTTACAGATGACATGATACCATGTACAGAAAACCCTAAAGATTCTACCAAAAAACAGCTAGAATAAGTGAATTCAGTAGAATTGCAGAATACAAAATTAATCCACAGAATCAGTTGCATTTCTATATACTAATAATGAAGTAGCAGAGAGAGAAATTAAGAAAATCTCATTTACAACTGCACCAAAAAGAACAAAATATCTAGGAATAAACTTAACCAAGAAAGAAGTGAAAAATCTGTACTTTGAAAACCACAAGACACTGGTGAAAGAAACTGAAGATGATACAAGAAATTGAAAAATATTTCATGCTCATGGATTGGTAGAATTAAAATCTCATACTACTGAAAGCAATCTACAGATTCAATGCAATCTCTATCAAAATACACAAAGCATTTTTCACGGAACTAGAAGAGATAGTACTAAAATGTGTATGGAACCACAAAAGACCACAAATAGCCAAAGTGATCCTGAAAAAGAAAAATGTAACTGGGGGTATCGCAATCCTAGATTAAAGATATACTACAAAGCTGCAGTAATCAAAACACTATGGTAGTGGCACAAAATTAGACCCAAAGGTCAATGGAACAGAATTGAGAGCCCAGAAGTAAAGCCGTGGTTATATGGTCAATCTGCAACAAAGGCAAGAATATACAATGTGAAAAAGACAGTCTCTTTAACAAATGGTGTTGGGAAAACTGGACAGCTGCAAAAGAATGAAACTGAACCATTTTCTTACATGATACACAAAAAAGAAACTCAAAATGGATTAAAGACCTAACTGTGAGACCTGAAACCATAAAACTCCTAGAAAACTTAGGCAGTAATTTCTCTGACATCAGCCTAGCAACATTTTTCTAGCTAGGTCTCCTCAACTAAATGATTGGGATTACACTGAAATAAAAAGCTTTTGTACCATGAAAGAAACCATCAAAAAACCCCCCAAAAGTTAACATACTGAATGGGAGAAGCTATTTACAAATGATCTATTTTATTAGAGGTTAATGTTCCAAATATATAAGAACTTCTACAACTCAACGCCCCTCCCCCCAGATAACAAGAGGCAGAGGACCTGAGTGCATTTTTTCAAAGAAGACATAGAGATGGGCAACGGACACATGAAAAAATGCTCAACGTCACTAACTGCCAGGGAAATACAAGTCAAAACCACAATGAGATCACCTTGCACCAGTCAGAATGGCTAGAATCAAAAAGAGAAAGAACAAGTGTTGGTGAGGATGTGCAAAAAGAAGCCCTCCAGCACTGTTGGTGGGAATGTAAACTGGTACAGCCATTGGGGAAAACAGTCTGGAGGTTAAAAACAGAAGTACCATATGATCCAGTAATTCCACTACTGTTATTTGCCCAAAGAAAACAAAAGCACTAAATTGAAAATGCACCCCTATGTTTTTTGCAGCAGCATTATCTATAATAGCCCAGGTATGGAAGCAACACAAGTGTCCACTGATCAATGAATGGGTAAATGTGTGTGTGTGTATGTGTGTGTGTGTCTGTGTGTATATATACAGAATATTTCTCAGCCATAAAGCCATAAAAAAGAATGCTATCTTGCCATTTGTGACAACATGGATGGACTTAAACACTTTATGCTAAGTGAGATAAGTCAGAAAAAGACAGATGTATCTGATTTCACTTATATGAGGAATCTACAAGAAAAACAAATGAACAAAAACCCTAAAAGCAGAAACAGGCCCACAGAGAACAAACTGATGGTTTCTAGAGGGGAGGGGTGTAGGAGGATGGGCAAAACTGGTAAAGGTGTGTGGCTTCCAGTTATGGAATCAGTAAGTCACAAGGATAACAGGTATAACACAGGGAATATAGTCAGTGGTATTGTAAGGACACTGAATGGTGACAGAGGGTAGGTATGGTGAGTATACCATAAGGCATGGAGTCATCAAATCACTATGTTGTACACCTGAGACTAATGTAACATCGTGTCAGTGGTACTTCAACAAAGAAAACTGTGTGTCCGGCGTAACACATACATCTGCTACTCTCCTTTCCTTCTACCCATCCACTCCCCAGCTATCCACCTATGCAACAATCATGCGCTGGGCACTCTTGTGAACATACGGGGACAAAGCAGTGAAGCAAGCAAGACTCCTATCTTCAAAGCATTAATATTCTAGCAAAGAAGAGAGACAAATAACAAATCAAGCAAACAAATGAATGGCATTGGGTAGTGACAGGTGCACTGAAGAAGAAGCACAAGATCCATACAGAAAATGACTGCATAAGGTGTAGGGAACCATCTGAGCTACGGTGTAGGGGAAGGCCTCCCCAGGAAGCACAGCAGCAGCATTTCAGTATCAATGGCCAGGAGCAGGACCGGTATTTACGAAAATGGAACCTCCTCCTCCCCCATTCTGCTTAATAGTGGCCAGTGGAACACTGTGGCACAGCCCTTTGAAAATTAGTAGTTTGGTGCTGATAGTAATTCTAGAGATTTCTTCCTTTAGTCAAAAAAATAAGAGAATGCAGCATTTTGATGCACAAAGAGATTTTTCCCACTTCTCCTATCCGGTAAGGCAAAACAAAAGTTAGAGAATGAATAGATTCTGAATCAGAATATGTGCTTAACTGAGTGAACAAAGAAAATATGAAGGTATCTTTTTTTTTCCTATTTCATGAGGCAGTTTTGTAGGCATTCCTCTCATCACACAAGCTTTATAAGCAAATTGTAAAGTGATAAAAATACTTTTTTTAGGCTGGCAGTGCTTATTAAGTTATATAATGAATAGAAAGGTGCTCTGAAAAGCAAAGAGCACTATATGAACATTAAGGAAGCATTATTACTATTATTAGCCAACTCACCTGAAGAGGAAGGAAGCTGATCATAGTCCTGTGATGTTCTGTTGGATTTGACATTTTCACCTGGTAATCTCCTAGCAGGAGGCAAAGGAACTTGGCCACTTGCTGGATCAAAAAAGGGATCTTAAAAGTAAAGATAATTTTCAAATTAAAATGATTATCTCTACAAAGTGGGTGAAGAAAAACATTCTAGAAAGAGTAAAGGTTTTGAAAATAAATTAGAACAAGAATTTCATGACTGATATTAACCATCTTCTAATCCTATTTTCTAATTTATTCATTACTTGCTCAGATAGGCTCTTCCCATTTATTCCTAGACAATACGAAGTACTAATTATATATTTTTCAGATCTTAATTATAAAATTCTTGGTGATAAAAGCTGCTTTGAATTCTTATTTTCTGTTCCATTCTGTCCTGTACTATGAATAGAAACTGTTGCAAAGTAGGGGCGCCTGGGTGGCTCAGTCAGATAAGTGTCTGCATTCAGCCCAGGTCAGGATCCTGGGGTCCTTGCATGAAGCCACAAGGGTCCTGGGACACACCCTGAGTCTGGCTCCCTACTCACTGGGGAGTCTGCTTCTCCCTCTGCCCTTTCTCCTGCTTGCTCTTTCTCAAATAATCTTTTTTTTTTTTTTTTTTAAGGAAACTTGCATATTTAAAAGGGAAAAAATGTTTTGAATTTTGCCTATAAGAGTCATTATCAAATCAGTTAATCTCTAAGTGTTAGGCATAATCTGTAAAATGAATCTGACATTTGGGATTTGTGAGGATTAAATGAATCCATGTGTGTGAAATCTCCTGTATATACAAAGTGCCTTTTAAACTACTACTACATTGGGCTTCTTATGCTAAAAGTCATTTTTAACTGGGTCACTGGAGAGTAGACTCAATTGTTAAAAATTGTGCTATTAGTAACATTAAGCTTTGCATATACAGTAAAAAGTGATACTTTTAACCACCTTGGTAATCAGAGTGGGGGCTTCTGCAACAGTGCAAATTATAAATTATACACAAATTAAAAATTATTTTGTTACTTTTAATGACATTTATTAACTGGAACCGAAGGCAGAAAAATAAATTTTGTCAGTGGTACCATATTAAATTGTTAGGACAATAAATCTAACTGGTTTAAAATTAGTAGTCTATGGAATTAAATCCACAGAACTGGTTTCATTTCTGAGTACATACACATCACCTCTGCAATGTCTGGTTCACTGGTAATTTATTTAGCTATCACTTCTATCTCTGCTCCTCTGTTTTCTTCTCTCATATTACTTTCGTTTATGTCTGCCAGTATCTCCAGAGGTATAATAAGAAGGAGTGTTATGTTACTCATCATGTTTGAATTATATCCCCTGACACAGAGTACCGAGCACACTGCTTGGCAAGTAGCCTAAATATTGTAAATATTTGATTTTAACTATCAAAATAAACCAAAACCAATTTATATTTTTCATAAATTCAAAATCAGTGAAATCTGAATTGCTACCATAAGCTTAAGATTGTAAATATTAAGGATCCATTATATTTCATTTTTTAAAAAAAATTTATTTATTTATTTGACAGAGAGAGAGAGAGAGAGAGATCACAAGTAGGCAGAGAGGCAGGCAGAGAGAGAGGGGAAAGCAGGCTCCCTGCTGAGCAGAGAGCCCGATGCGGGGCTCAATCCCAGGACGCTGAGATCATGACCTGAGCTGAAGACAGAGGCTTAACCCACTGAGCCACCCAGGTGCCCCTATTTCATTGTTTTAACATCCCTTGAAGTTTATCATTAAGAATACATAAGAATTTGATTATTTAAGAAGAAAATGAACACATATTTATGCTAATTTTTAACTAGATAGCCTAAGTCAAGAGTTGAAGTCTTTGATTATTACTTTCCCCATTTTGAGTACAATAACTATCCCTAGGTTTGCTGGAGACTTTTTGACCTAAGTAAGGTTACTTAACTTGCTTTCATTAAATTCAAGCTTAAAATTAGTGTTAGATTTTGCACTTTTGGAATTTGAAGAGTCAATGGTTCAGCCTCATTAATTTTGCTGAAACATTTTAGGAAGCAATGAGAAGATAAATCAAATCCCATGCAACAAATGTTAATCTTTTGATTTGGAAGAGTAAAGTATTTGGAACTAGGTATGGTGATTTCTGCCCAAGTTTAGAAATTTCTCCAAAGATTTAGATTAGAATATTCAATAAAACCTACCCTCCGTTATTGTGCATTTTAAGCATCACTGATATAACATTAGGTCTGAGGAAAGATTGCTTATTACAATAATACACTTTAAAAAAATTTCTTTAGGGGTAAATGTAAAGGTTTGTCAAATATACTTATGCTGTTACTAATCGTGCATTTAAGTTCCAGATATACTGCAGGGTCATAAATAGACTACAAAATATATAGTTGTAGGATATTGCTCCATTAAACTATTTTACTTTAAAAGTCACTAAGTACACTAAAAATATTACCATAAATAGCAAAATGCTTAGTTTAGTTCTGTCTCACTACCATATGTGTCTTCCTTCATGCTAAGTTTGCTACTGGTCAGGTATAGGGCATACTGAGCTTCTAGAGCAACTTGTAAAGTCGAAAGTATTCATGCTTCAATGGGAAAAGATACACAACCCAATTACTACAAACAGTACAATAACCACCGTCTCCTGATAAAGAAACTTTGAAAAGCAATCAAGTTTTTAAAAATAAGTTCTTCAAAAACTAATTAAAGTAAAATGTTATATCCACAGTTAGAATTAAAACATACAAATCAAAAATACCATAGCCAATGCACCATTTACATAGTAATAAATGTTCGAGAAATGAGTGAATAAACACGATGGGATTAATCTGTTCTAAAAAGTAAAGTACTATTGCCTGTGATTTACAGTATGGTAATGCTAAATTGAAATTTTAATACTTAGAGATTATAAAAATCTAAGGAAAGACTGGGAGGAAAGGTTTGCTCACTATAAAAGAAGTGGGAAAATACGTATTGATTGAAATTATGCTGTGTAAGAAGGAAACCTATCAAATGGTTATAGGCGGCAGCACTATGGAATGTTTTTCTTAATTCCTTTTTTTTTCCTTCCCATTATCTGAAACACTTCCCAAATATTTACTCAAGTGTAGAAAAAGAGGCAAATAAAATTGGACAGTTAAAACAGCGGCATCTTTCCTGCAGGGCTGTCCAAAAACCATCTGGAAGATTTATCTGTTATCCTCCAAATTAAAAAAAAAAAAAAAATTAAAGCAGACTGTAATTGTTAGAGGGGTCTGAAGAGTATTTAGGTGAAACAAAATTCCTTCCTCTCTGTGGCCCTCACTCTTTAACTTGCATTCATAAAATCCCTACTAGGTAGTGATCCGCCCACTGATTAAATCCTTCAGTGTTAGAGAACTCACTGCTCCTCTGACACAATAATTCTTTAAAAAAATGTTTAAGAATTCTTACTTTAGGAAATTACAATGACATTTTTATTCTTAATCATCCTTCTCACTGGTCTGCCCTTCAGAGGAAACACTGAGGAAATCCAGCCCTTCCTTCACAAATACAGTAACTAGACACAACCCCCATATATATATCTCCAAGGTCGTCTTGCTCATTAAGCACTGCAGTTCTTTTAATCCAGTCTGGTTCCTGCAGTCAGGTATAAATTCCCTTTACCACCCCGGCTGCCCTCCACCATGAATACCCCAACTCAGTATTTCTCAAAATCGAGCATGCCTCACAGTCCCCCAGAAGGCTTGTGTGAAGATTGCTGGGCCCTACTCCCAGAATTTCTGATTCAGTAAGTGCTCTGTGGAGCTTAGGAATTGTAATCTTAGGTAAATCCCCCAGTGACACTGATGGGGCTGGTTTGCAGACTACAATCTGAGAACCCACCACTGCTCTAGCCCGTCAGTCCTTCAACATCTCCCCACAGTGGTCTCCATGCCAGCAGAGCACAGGACCTCACCTCATTCCTCCTCGGGTCTGAACTCTGAGTGCAACCTTCAAATGGCAGGAGCTCCCTTGGTAGCCACATGGTGATGGTGGTTCATAAAGGTCAGAGTTAACCACCTAAATCCTCTTCAGTAACTCTTGCTAATGACCTAAATATCCTATTTTACTTATGACCTTGCATTTCTGGATGGAACTGGAAAATATTCATTTAACTGTAATCAAGTCAAATGTTTTAGCTTTTCGAATTGAATTGTGACTTGAAGATCAGATAAGGAATTCAAAAGAGATTCCAGGTTAGAAAAATAGTGGAAGCAATGAGGGCTGCTGGATATGTTGTGTATTTTGTGCACTGCACAAAGACATATAGTTATGGGAATGAGCAGACTGTAATACAGCCTTGGCTTTGTTCCTGGAGCACTGGCCCTGGCACAAGGGGGAAGGATGGGGGCCGCTTTCAACCCACTGGCACAAAAGAAGTGCCTTTTTGTAATCTGAACAAAAGCACAGATACGCTAGCAAAGTATAAAGCCTTTTTTTGAAGATTCTTCAGGTTTTGTTAAGATAGGACTAGCCCATCCGGAATAGATGCTCAGGCACAGCAGTGGGCATGACTATTTGCTGAAAGAAATCTCACCTGCAGGCTGAAAATGGAAAACAGATAAAAGAAGCATCAGAGCCGTGCTCCTGCTTTGTTTGCCCCCATCATCCTGCAGGAGTCCTGAGGCTCCTTCGCAGAAACACAGGACCCTGCAGTTTGAAAACTGTTGCTACACAGAAGTCAGTGGGCTTAGAAGGCTGGAAAGGTGAACCTGACTCAAGTGTGCAAGGGCACTAAATGCTGGGAATAAAGAGGGAGGTTTGATCAGGGGTTTAACACAACACCGAGAGAAAAGCAATCTTTTTTTTTTTTTTTTTTTTTTAAGACCTCTATCTTTTGTCTTCAAGTAGGGACAATTATTTCATTAAGGAAATCAAAATCTCAAACATGCCCCGTAGAGGTTTACCATTATACTAGACTAAAATCTTCCCGAATGAACAACAGGGAAAGCAACAGCTGTACAAAACTCATGCAGTTGCCTTTAACACAGTGAATCCCCTCTACTTCCCCTTTATGGCTCTACAACTAGTGAGTCAAACGTTCATTTATCATTTATAGAGTGTTCTTTAATGAAGTTCACTGAAATAAGAGTGAAGAAAGGCCACAAATCTTCTACTTTAGATGCATAACGTATTAAATCATTTGCAAAATGATACTTAAATATTTATTTATGGGTCAAAAGAAACCTTCATGTTCTATTAGTATGTAAGAAGAATTAAAATAGTTCTTTGAAAAGGAGGAGATCTAACAGATGTGGTTCAAGGAGATTAAGAGAGTACAAACTTCCACGTATAAAATAAATCACAGAGACTCAAAGTACAGCATAGGGAATAGAGTCAATAAGACTACAACACTGTATGGTGAGAGAGGTGACTACATTTATTTTGGGCAACACTGAATGGCATATAGAATTACTGAATCAATGTGTTGTACACCTGAAACAGTGTAACACTGTATGTTAATTATGCTTTAATAAAATATAAATAGAATTGAGTAAAAGCAGTTGTCTTTTAACGCCTCGGTGGCTCAGTCGGTGAGGCTGCTGCCTTCAGCTCAGGTCATGATTGCAGGGTCCTGGGATGGAGCCCTGCATGGGGCTCCTTGCTCAGCAGGGAGCCTGCTTCTCTCTCTGCCTCTGCCTGCCACTCTGCCTGCTTGTGTGCTCTCTCTCGCTCTCTCTGACAAACAAATAAATAAAATCATTAAAAAAAAAAAAAAGCAATTGTCTCAATGGATCTCATATAGGATCTGGCAACAGACTAGAAGTTTGTCACGTTATTGCTAAGAAAGGCTGGAAGAGGAAAAGAAGTTACTATCTTTTTTTCTTAGAAGTATTTATTATCAAGAGATGTCAACATTATGGAGAGTGGAATTAGACTCCCCACATGTACGAAAGGAGGTCAAGAGATGGTCAGCAGGTCCCAGTGACAACACCTTGGCCCCATACAAGCTTCATATTGTAAGTCAAGGATGACTGTTGATGAGCTGCCTGCAGCCAAGTAAAAACAAAACAAGCAAACCTTTATATGAAATAAAACGGTTTATACAATTTATCTAATAAAAGGGGCATTTTCATTTTGTAATTTTTTTTAGTAATATCAACAGCATTTTTATGAAGTTTTTTTATGTAAAGCACAATAAAAAATAACTAAAACATTTTACAGTTAACTCTTTTGATTAAAAACAGGTAAACGTGTTTATTTGTGTAAAATGTTCTCTTCCAACTCCTGGAAAGCTTGACTTAATTTTAAAAAGAAGGCACTACGTTGGTTTTTATTTAATGGGGCTTAAATCACATAAATAAAAGGTGATAGGTACCTTGTAGGAATCTGACCAGAGACTTACACAGAAGTTAGCCTTGGTTTCAAAAGGTTAACTAAGGTTTAGAGTGACTTTTTTTTTTTAATGTTAAAATCCATGTATAAAAGATTTGAATAAGTGAAAAAGATAGCAAATGTTATTGGTGTTTATAAGAATGAATAGGAGCCCAATAGTTGCTTTTTTTGGTTGTTGTTGTTGTTTTTTTTTTTTTTTTTGTAAGATTTTATTTATTTACCTGAGAGAGAAAGCGCCTAGGAGAGGGGGGAGGATTGAAGGGGGAAGCAGACCCCCCACTGAGCAGGGAGCCTGAGATGTAAGATTTATAGGAGACTCGATCCCAGGACTCTGGGATCATAACCTGAATAGAAGGCAGATGCTAAACCAACTGAGCCACCCTGGCACTCCTAGGAGCCTAATAGTTACCATGCTTTCTCCTTGGATTAGAAGGGGTATGGCCCTCGCTCTTTGATTGGTAGTATCCAGTGAATTCATGGATGCCAGGAGGGGAGCGAGGCATCTCATGGTGCGTGTGACACAGAGGACAATTCAATCAATATTTACTGAAGAAAAACTAAATTCAAAATTATATCTTAAAAAATTAATCTCTTTTAGAAGCTGAAGCTACCTATTCCAAGTTATAGGTGTATAATTTGTGTGTCTCATCCATAAATCACCTCAAATCTTCTAAGTTATTAAACTGAATGGAAAAAAAATCTAGGAACATGAATACCAAAGGAGAATGATAATGGCTAAGTTTCCCAAGTTTTCACTGAGATACAAAGGCAGCCCAAGGTCAAACTGAGCACTTATTTTCAGATTTATTTAATATAAAAATGTAAAGTAATTCTTAAAAACAAAATTTTTACCCTATGTTTATCCAAACCAAATTGAGACAAAGGTTTCTGAGCACCGATTACAGTCTCACCAACATGACAGATCGGAATAGTTAATACCAGTAGATTCAATGTAACTATTTTTTTCTGACAGTTCTGACTAGTGGAGTGGATGGCTTATGATAAGTCTCTTTGTTTTTATTTCTATTCCTCACTTTAAAGGCTAAAAAAAAGAGTTATGTTTTAATTTTTCCATGAAAAACAATAATTTGAGTTAAGATATTAATAACAATGGTAACAATAAAATGCAGATATTTCAGAAAAACTTATCTACTGATGTTGTAATAATGCAATTTACCAAAATGTTATCTTTTTGAATACAATTATGACCCGAAGCCATAGCTAGTAAAATTAAAACTTACTAGGAAAAAAATACGACACTCAGGATTGGGAGAGTCTGAATTCTGTCCTCATCACTACTCGCCCAACCATGGAGCCCTTTCGGGTCTCAGGGATGCCTTCTGTGGCACAAGGATGTTATCTGGATTGGACGAGCTCTACAGCATCTATGACTCCTACTGCTTCTGACATTTTTGTAATCCTTTGCATTAAATCAACCAATTGACAAGCAAAGCTAGACAACTGCTGGTTTTCTCTACCCAGATTTTCCTGCTAGAGAGTTAGAAACTGGTACATTACTGATGTTTATTTGACAGTATGATCCTAGAAATATTCTTGCTTTAGGTGAAAAGTTTTCTTTGGCTTTTCCCCTCTTACCTGAAGGAAGAAGGAAAAGGTCCTGTCCTGAGGATGGTCGGCTGTTGGAGCCGGGAGGTTTTGAGTGTTCGATGAGGCTGTGTCTTGCGGGAGGTGGGGGAGGTGGGAGGGATGGGGGGAGGGCATCAAAAGCATCTTCACCTGCATTTGAAGAAAGGTGAATATCAACAGCAGAACTTCATTAATGAAAACACAGCATCAGGCCAAAGTAATGATTGATTTTCTCTTGCTGCTCATAAAGAACTTCACCTGCAGGGTTTATCTCGCAGTTTACCAACTTTGAGAACGAAAGCTGCTTATTTTCTGGGAGTGTCTGAAGAGAAACATAGGCACACAAACACACATGTACATGTGCGAGCTTTTCAAACTCCCAGGCCTTTCTGGTAAAAAGCACCACTGCAGGTTATGAAAGAGCTTATTATCTACTTGTAACCTTTATCATGTTAAGACACGAAGTTTGAACTAAAAATTATTATAGGTCATACCATCAAAACAGAACTTATGTAACAATACGAGTTCACAGCCTCTTACTAGAAAATCACACTGTGCACAAGAAATTTAATGTCACAGAACAGATTATCTTTTAAACTTTATTCTTCAGGATTTTAATTCATTTAAACTAATGTTCCATATATTTCATTGTCAAAATACAGAAAATGTACCTATAGTAGAGGAATGTATTTTTCTATTTATCAGATATCTCTAAAGAGGAACAGTTAAATATAGAACTCTCTTCTGTGGTCCCCAAACTACTTATATTTGCATATTTCCCAGCTTTAGTAACTACAGAATATTGTAGCATGCTTTTATGTCTACTTATTTTCCCTTGCCACATCTTACTATTCTACTCATATTTTCCCCATCTCAATTCTTTAAAACAATAAAACTGCAATGTATGTATTTTTGTAAGTAATCTCAAATACTCTGTGAATAAAACAGGGTATAAGCAAACACCTACATATTCCAATAATAAAAATTCATGTATTTAAATTTATTGACTTAAGCCAAAGGTATATTTTATAGAAAAATAGTTTTTATCATTCATCCAACTTGCCTTATAAAACATATTCAAAATATTTTCTCTAATGATCATAAGTCTTTTCCTAACTTAAAATATTTGAAGGTGTGGGGAAGGGGGAAGAGAGCTTTGCTATCCTTCCAACCTTCAGCTATCTGCTACACTCATTATCTTATTCATCCAAATCTTTTTTTTCAGCCCCTAAATGTCAGGTACCATGCTAGGCACATGGGTAATGTGAAGATCAAAATCACAAGGCCCTGATGCAAGGAGCTTAGATTCCACAAGAAGATTGAAGAAAAACTCACAAAGAGGTATGATTCACAGGTGAGAATGCCTCAGGTCTCACAGAGAGAGCTCTGCATTGTCAGGGGGACAGGAAAAGTAGAAAGCGGTACTCAGCCAGGTGTTACAAGGATGGAGAGGTCTGGCTATCAGAGGCTCAGAAACATTTACTCATTAAATGCAAGGACGGTGTCTTCCAGACAGAGGGAATAGCATAAAGAGTATAAATAAAGCATGAGATGTGCGTGAAGAGCGAGAGGAAGGCTGAGTTAGAAAGACAGGCTGGAGTACTGATCTGCATGGTCTGATACGGTAGTCACCGTCCGTATATAGCTGCTTCATTCAAATTAAAAGTCAGTTCCATCCACAGTCGCGCAGGTGAATGTATAGATTCTTTACATCACCACATAAAGTTCCACTGGACAATGCTGATCTAGGTCATTTAGACTTGGGTAATAGGTCAAAAACCGGCACGCAGGAAGAAGTGGGAGGGAGGAAAAAACAAAACAGAAACACCCCATAGGTAAAGAAGTTAGCAGTTGCCTGTAATTGACGTAGGTGGGAACGAAGCACTGAGTACGGAAAGTGCAGGAACCAAAGACACTGCAATTACGCAACTAGAAACACGAGGTGATGGTGTCGGGAAAACATCATGAGGGTCATTTGACAGTTCTGGGTGTCTAGCAATCGATTCAGGGAAGCTTATCGATGGACCTTCATTAGACATTATGTTATGGTGACTTGTTACTGTGAAGCCTAAAGGTGTGCGGAGATTCTGTCTTCCTCTAGAAACAGGGTGAGAAGCTTCCTACCTAGATTTAATAAACACAGATACCAGCACCAGCCAGCTTTTACATACACGTGTACCTTCCCACATGCACACACACATGCACACACACACACTTTTTATCAAAATTCAAACCAAAGAAGACGGAGATTCTCTGAATGTGTAATTGATTATAAGACAGAATGTATTTCTCAGTTCTTTACAATAGAATATTTAATTTACCATAATGTAATTAGCTAAGTAAGTGGAAAGGGACCATGTTATGCTGAAAGAAAGAGTAAGTACACATTCATTAGGAATTGTACTTAAATCTCAGATGAACACTTCAGGTCTACTAGAACACAAGGGCTCAAGGGAAGAAAGGATGCTCTCACAGGTTTTTTAGACTACATTTAGTACGTGAAGAGAGGACTTGATAAAATGCAGATTGATGGCCAGCCCTGTACACCACTGCTTCAATCATGTAAATGGAATGAACCCGAGAGCCACCACTACCTAGAGAAGCCATTCTAATTCAGACAAATTCATACCCTTGTAAGTCTGTGTTACACTGAAATCTGATAATTCAGATATTAACTGAAAGAAGAGGCAGGGTGGCTTGTTTGAAAATTGTTTTAAAGGTTTCAACCTAATGGAGGGATGAGAAGATCATAATCAGAGGGCGTCCTGTTGAGTGAAGAACCATGCTTTGGATTGTCCCGAGTTGGAGGCCTGGCAGGTGGTAATGGCACTGGATCAGAGGCTGAATCAAAAACATCTCCTAGAGGATAACACAAAATCTTAATGTATTTTCAGTACAACAATGGCATGGAATTTTGCCTTTAAATTCTGACCATTAAGATGTAGAGCACAAAGAGAATATGTTTTATACATACCCTTTAAATATATGCCTAATTCAGGGATGTTTGATTTCTTCATCTCTGAAGATGTACCATGGGTTCCATTCAATATACAGTGACCATTATCACAAGACCTAAGGCGGAGATCAAAGGACAAAAATCATAAGGGAAACTATTTTCTTTTTAAAAGTAATTTGGAGGGGTGATAGGAACTAGGAATCCTGCTCATATGCTACAGCTTGAAAAAAAATATAATTTCCTTTTTTGGAAAAAGAATAAGAATACCTCAAAGTATTCTTATTCTTATTTAATTATTTTTACAAAGAAGAAGTAAATATCTTATGGAAAACAATCTTTTTTTAAAGTGAAATCAAGAATTACAAAGGCCACAAAAATTACTGATAAGCTAAACAAACCTGTGAAAATTAACATATATTTGGACAAGTTCAATGATACCTTGTCAAGTTTTTGCAGAAAAACATGTAGTAAGGCAAAAATAAATATGTAATAGTCCCAATGACTTATTTGTTGATGGTATGTAACATAGTATTTCTGTAATTTAAGCTTTCCTTATAATAAACTAGAGCCCATCGAAGAATTATTAAATGTTCTGAAATTTCATTAAAATTCTGATAGGCATATTTGAAGACCTAGAGTCTATGTTAGAATTTCACTACTGCTATGACCGAAACTCCCAGCACTTCAGATAGCTGTAGAGAAATGACTTTGGCAAAGGCCTTGGGTACACAACAAACATTTTAATCTGTTTGTCTGCAAAGAATAATACTTATTAAGAAAGTATTTTTATTGTTTGTATTCATTACTGGAATCCTACCATATGCATAATGGACAAAACTGGGGTACTAGAAGATAGCAGGAAGAGAAAGTACAAAGCACATTTTGTCTTGAGAATATAGCTGTGTAACAATCAACTCTCTGTCCACCAAGTTATTCTGTTCACAAAAAGCTATAGAAAGCAGAGTTTATATTTTCCTTTACTCTGGTTTACTCTGAATTCTTGGGGCATAGTAAAAGTACATACATAATCGAGGAGATAGTGGACATTTAAATAGTTACTGCAAGAAAGCTTCATCTGAAATTCATTTCCATTCTCTCTGGTGGCCACGTCTGTTTCAGGGGCCAGAAATGGTTCATTTTAAAATAGTTATCATGTATTGAATTTTCATAATAATGATGGATTTTTACTGAAACTGAATTGAATTATTCATCTACTCCACATATTGACAATTTATTTCTTCTGATGTTCCAAAGGGGGAAAACACTGGGAAAGGAAACGTTTAAGCTTAACGAGTGCTCTGTGGAGGACATAAGAAGTTACTTCATCCCTCGGCTTTCGAGAACAAATTAGATAAAAAATCCACTCCAATTAAGTTTAGGGATTATCAACATTTATTACTTCTCTGTAACAATAGGAAGATAGTAATGGTGGTCATAATTCAAATTTATTTTCAGGATTTGGGAAGCCTGCCACCAAAAATCTCATCCAATATGATCTGACAATTAAAATTTAAAGCATTTAAATTATACCTCTCACTTTTTCAGCAATGGAAAAAAAAATGAAATCCCAAGGAAACCAAAAAAGCTCATCTTATTTCAGTCTTTAAAAATTACTATCCATTTATCAGGGCCAAAAGGACTAAAAATTGTGACAATTTGTATTTGATGTGAAGGAATAACTTCCCTCTCTAATAAGAGTAGTAGACATTTGGTTCTTCTGATATAACAAATTGCCTCTCAGTTATTTATCTTCTCAATGATACCGTTTTATCAACAAATGTCTTAGACACCACTGATTAGCAAGAAATGCTTTGGTTTTCTTGTTTTGAAATATGAAGCCCTAGATGCAGAATGTTAGTAATTCTGGTGAAGAATACTGCAGAGTGTTGATAATTCTAACCAGGATCACTCATGCAGACAGCTCTCTGGTGAAAATGAAGAGTTGTTCCTCTTTTCCAAGTATTGCATTTTCACCTCCATGTGATACTCAAAGAAAGGCACTAAAACATTTTTTGGATCTTTCATCTGTAAAGAAGGAAATACTTCACTCATAAAATGCTTTCCACTGATTGACTTGACCTTGAAAAGGAAATAGCACACAAAGTAGAGATGGCCAAGATGGCTGAAGTGCTGGGCAGTTCTATCCTCAATCAAGAGCTGCTGGAAGGCAGGAAGGCTGGGCCACCAGCCACGGTCGACCCCTAGGCTGTGTGCCGAGCATCGCTCCAGGGATTCCGTCTCACAAAGGCAGCGAACTCACAAAGAAAGTTTTAAAACCGGGATTTGACTTACTGAGTACCTCACGTACGTCAGATGAGAGAAAAGAAAAATACCTGAGATTACAGATTACTAAATCAATTATGTAAGGGAAGAATCACCCTTCTACTTAAGCACATACTAATATTTCAATATATGCCACCCATTTTTAATAACTGTTATATACCTCAGTGGAGCTGCCACTTCAAAGACCAAGGATGTCTCCGTTATGAGGAGAACAAACAACTGACAAGAAGAAAAAAAAAAAAGATACGATCCCTCACGATCTTATTCAATCTAAGGAAAAAATAGTTTCTGATTAAAAAAAAAATAGCTAAGGAAAATACTTTTTTTTTCCTCCTTTTTACTTTAAGATCTGACGAGTAGAAGTAGGTAGCATATCAAGAAGGGAAATGAATATATACTAGTCTTTATATCATGAAAAAAATTCTAAGGAAGGTTCGGTAATACTTTAGTGTCCGAGCACTGATTTTCTTCATGAGATATGGGCTTAGAACTGATAAAATGCACCGAAAATAGTGTATTGAAAGCCACAATAGGTAATACACAGCAAAGCCTTATTAGGCTATGACTTGTTTTGGGGGGGTGCAGGGTGAGAGAAGGGCAACAAAATGTTCCATTAGATTTACTAGTCAATTAATTTAGCTAAATGACTTTCTGATTAATGAGAAATCTGTATCTTTTAGTACTCTCTGAAAATAATGCAGAAAATCCTATATAGGAAGAAGGGGCTTGGACCAAGAAATCAAGGATTTTAATTAAATACATGTGATTCAGCTGCTTAAAAACAAAAACCACATATGATAATGCTTATGCAGGCATGAGGTGATAAAATGCTGCCCATATGCTTACCTAGGAGGAGGTTTTACGTTATGGCAATGAGATGGTTGTGAATTCAGGGAAACAGGATGGGATGAAGGAATCTTGTATTCATCGTCATCTTCCTCTACTGGGTCTCTGGTTTTCTCTGAAAGGGAATTTGCTAACGGGCCAGTACACCTACCAGAGAGGGAAGAAAATCCAGTCTGCTTTAAGCATAACAATTCAGAACAGGTAAGTCAGATGTGATATAATCAAATCAATAGAGCCATTTTGTCACTTGTATTCATTTTTCAATTACAGGCTAACATCAGAAGGACTGTTCTTCGACTAAATATAGATGAAAAGGATTTTTCAATCTTTTGTTAAGATTCCATTGATGAACTAAAAGAATTTTCATACTTATAATTTTAAATGGCACAGTAAGAAAAACTAGTATCCTGTCAAATTAAATAAAAAGGTCTTGAAGTTAAAAGAGAATGTATAAAATTATCTATACCAAAGCTATTAAAATATTAACATTTTGTTCCAATTTAACTTAAATGGGTAAATTAAGATAATAAATATATACACATGGTAGTTTTATGTATTAATGAAGTCTTTATAGAAAGGTCAAACTTTCTGTCTCTTGTGAATATTACCTATAAGCTGAAAAAAAAATCCAGTTCAATTAAATGAATTCCTTCTCCTACAAAGTTCAAGTACAATTCAAATTGTTAATTTTTTTCCCCAAGAACTACTAAGAACTAAAAATGATTGGAACAATTAGAAGTAGATAATAAGCGAACTTATTAAGTCTTTGAGGTATAGTACATTATTTTTATGGCTTCAGTTCTCTGGCTAAATAAAAAAGAATGAAGATGAGTACAACAATCGCCTAATACCGAAAGAAATTTTCAAGTATTTTACTCATCCATGAGAGTAAATAAAAAAAAAATAAAACAAAGCCAAACAAGGAAGCAAAACCTGGCTGATTTTCACAGTTGTTGCTAACGGAGTTTAATCTAATCCTTGCTTATGCAAGTGAAAAATATAAAGTAGTAACACATGAACCTACCCTAACTTTCTGACACCCAACCAGTTTGCAAGACACTGTTGGTATATATAAACCCAAAGCTTTTGTTAATCATGGTGAAACCTCGGTTTCATTAAAGGTATTTTTTTTTTTTTTAAATGTCTGTGACTGCAATTTTGAAGCACCTTCTGTAGAGGGAGCAAAAGTCCTTTGGTATATGTGCCATCGAGCCTGAAATAACTTTTTCATTTTGATTTTTTCTCACTAGTTAGAATGAGAAAATTTTTAAGGGCTTTTCTTTGTGCCCATTACAAGAAGACATTGTGAAAAATGTATAAGTTTTCAAGTTTCTACTATGTATTTGAATCCTAAGAAAGTTCATAGATTAAAGAGAAATCTCTCCTAAGACTTTTCAAAAGCATATTTTTGCCTGTCTTTGAAGACTTTTTCAGTACTGATTTTTGAATTCTTGTTTGTTTGAAAAATCTCCAAGTTCAAACAACAGTTTACAGTCAGGTGAAAGCACAGTGACACAGTGACAAAAAGCCTGCCGTCACTGCCCAGAGCCCAAGCTAATGACTTGATTAATGACCTGAGGGTTACACCTCCTGTCTGGTGTAACCTTAGAAGAGGTATGTATATTCTAAATGAAGGTGGGGAGTACGTGGACTGCCAAATGGGGACCTGAGAGGTATTGGGGTAGGAATTTCAAACAGGACCTTTCTATGAAGTCTAATAAACATGGACATCGATTTACCTAACTCAAGGATCAGAATGGGTCCTACTGACAAATGAAACAATATACATCCTTTCTATATCCTAATATACTTTCATTCATAATAAATTCTTTTTTCCTTTGCAATTCAAGCATATCTTGTATAAAAGAAAAAGACGTATTAACCAAATGTTCAACAAAATCGACGTCAGAAATCTACCATCTGCCTGTTGTGTTACTTCCAAAGATTTAAGAGTTCCCAAAGTAGCACTACACATTGAGACAAGAATGGACGGTTTTTAAAATCACATCTGTCATGCCTGAGTCTCTTCAGTGATAAAGAATTTCATCTGGGTAACTCCTGCCCCTACTCTTTTGCTTTGCTGCAAATCAACAGATGGAATGTTTCTGAAGAAAATGAAAAGTAAAGCCCACCTAAGATTTTATGGAATAATAAAGGCTTACTGCTAAAATTTACTAATCATAGATTATTAGCTTAAATGGATTTTAGTGGATTATATCCAGAAGTGGAAAATGTCTTCAACTGGCATTTGTATCCAAATCCAAAAAAGTGATTAAATATTCTATTTATCACCATTTTAATAAGTTTGAAAGTCAAATTTTATTTTTCATCTTTGTGTTTTTAAGGCAAACTTCTTGTATCAGTATAATATTCTACTTCAATAAGCCAGTTTATAAGAATATCATTCTAGTGCATTTTTTAAATTGTTTGAAAGATTTATCTTATTTATTTTACAGAGGGAGAGAACACATGGGGGAGGGGCAGAAGGAGAGGGAGAGAGAATTTTTTTTTTTAAAGATTTTATTTATTTGACACAGAGAAATCACAAGTAGGCAGAGAGGCAGGCAGAGAGAGAGGGGGAGGAAGCAGGCTCTCTGTGGGGCAGAGCCCCCGACTCGGGGCTCGATCCCAGGACCCTGGGATCATGACCTAAGCCGAAGGCAGAGGCTTTAACCTACTGAGCCACCCAGGCGCCCCGAGGGAGGGGAGAAATTTTAGCAGACTCTGTGCTCAGCAGAGAGCACGATGCCAGGCTCGAGCTCGCAATCCTGAGATCACGACCCCAGATGAAAACCAAGAGTCAGACGCTTAATGGGATGTTTAACTAGCGATGCCACACAGGTGCCCCTCCTTCCAGTATATTTTATTCAGCATATGTTTTTATATCAAATTAACCTCATCCAGTTTTTTTTTTAAAGATTTTTATTTATTTGTCAGAGAAAGAGAGAGCTAGAGAGCACATGCACAGGCAGAGGGAATGGCAGGCAGAGGGAGAAGCAGGCTCCTCGTTGGGCAAGGAGGAGCCCAATGCTGGACTCGATCCCAGGACTCTGGGATCATGACCTGAGCCGAAGGCAGATGCTTAACTCACAGAGCCACACAGGTGTCCCTAATCTTATCTAGTTCTGAAGGTAAAAATAAAAGCAGTTTCTATCATAAAAAAAACAAAACAGGAATGTACAGTATGAACTTTGGGTGATTATGTGTCAATACGGGTTCAGCTGTTTTAACGAAGGTAGCACTATTGTGGAATGTTGATGATGGAAAGGCGAGGCATGTGTGGGGTAGTCAGTATAAGGGAAACTGCTGTACCTTTGCTTTAATTTTGCTGTGAATTTTGCTTTAATTTTGCTGTGAATCTAAAAAAAAAATAAAGTCTCTAATTACACTTCTCTAAAACGTGAAATTTTATAAAAAAGAGAAGGTACAAATAAGATAAAGAATTTGTATATAAGATACCAAAAGAGAAATCTTGATTCATGTAAATAATTACACTACTTGTAGTTATATGTGGGATTTTTTTTTTCCCCTTCACAAACTAATTCAAAAAGCAGGTTCAATTTTACTTGCCACTAAGTAAGTGGTAAAAGAATTAGTTTCACAAATTTCATTGGCTATCGTGTATGTTTACTTTTGGCAGTGGAGAAAATACCAAACTTATGGGACACAAGAAAATTTTCAGTCATTGATATGGCTTCTGGGAAATGTTTAGGATATCAGAGGAACAAAACAGAGCAAATCATATTTGGCTGGTTCCAAGTTAAAGCTGCCAAGTAAACCAACTTATCATTTACACCCATTACTTCATTCCCTTTATATCATCATCATACCCAGAGCGGAGTGCTTTGCACTGTGGCTGTCATTCGGAAGTTAATACGCTGGTAATGTACAAGGACACACCCTCTCAAAGATGCACAGCCATTCTCTCCCCAACCTGCACCTCTTGTTAAACCCACTGTATGTTAGTTATCGGAGCCTTCAGTGAGAAACACATCCATTTTCTGCAAGTGCACACTTGAAACAAACCAAGAATATATTTTCCAACGCTGTTCTTAGTGATTGTACATTTCAAAACGAACTCACAGACACACTCCTCCACAGCATTTTATATTCTTGGTATAAGGCACATAATCAGAGGGGTGACCTGAGGATCCCACTGGCTTTATTTATGTAACTTATAACTCAAATACCACCATTGCCACGTACTTCCTTTCCTTCAATTGAACAATTCTTGATAACTCACTTAGTCCATCAACTTTTCCAGAAAAAAGGCAAAGTAGAAATATTCATTTTCACTGTCTATGAACCCCCTGTGACATTGCCTGACAAAACAGTTTTCTTTCAACTTTAATTTGTTCAATTATAAGTATTTGGTACATGTTCTTTTACTGACATTGTGTTTTGTATATATTCACCTACACCTGTCACCTATTTCTGTCCTGAACTGCAAAATGCTTAAGGGTCAACAAAGGCCTGGCATGGTATGTAACCAGGGGAGCACTCACAGCTTTTAGACAAAAATGAGTGCTTATCGGAGAAACAGATGACCAAGCCGTTAAGGGGAAAAGAATGATCATTTTTATGATTCTTTCATAATCTAGAAAAGGATTTTGATATATTATTTATATATTATTTTATATATTGTTTTCTACATGGAAGAATGTTTATTTAATCATATCTGAAGGCAAGGTTTTAAAAAATAACTTTTCTTAAAACTGACTCTTCAGAACCTGCTGTATACATCAGTCCATATTTCTTGTATTAATTATCACAAGCCTAACAGGGAAAATACTTAACTCCCAGAAATCATAGCTTTGGTAAGTGGTGACACTAAATAAAGCTCTATTTGAAATGATGGCATGTATGCCACAAAATAGTAACTTCCCCAGTATATCAGAGTGAGTTTTATAATACATACTGATTTTGAGGTTTCTTTCAGGACATCAAGAAGAGTTGGTGTGGCATACTATCACGTTTAACAAACCTTTCCTGTAAGCTTTAATTATAAGCATTTCATGGACTTAAATATAAATTGGAGAAACAAATTTTAAGTTGTATTTTTAAGTTAACTTATTCAGAACCAATGTCTACCTTTAAAATTTTTAGGGGATCTGCTTTAGAAATCAAAAAGATACTGAGGAAACACA